CTAGTCAAGTCCCCCATTTTCAACACCCGCTCTGCGTTTGTCGGTATCAGCCACGGCCTGTCATTCTCCACGGAGAGCAAGTTTGCTGGTCCCCTGTCAGCACTCACACAAACAAGCATCACTCCTCCTCCCGGGCTCATCCGTCCAGGCCTTCTCATTCGTCAGGCAGCTGTCACGGGGGGGAGGGGGGGGGGGACAGCCCCGTTCACAGCCTCTCCCGGCTGATTCTGGACTTAATGTGCCCACGCTCTGTCCTCAAGCCGTCACTCTGCATGAGGGGATGCTCCCGAGGTGGACATGGCCACCTTTCATCCACTGCTTCCAACAGACATTGTTCCTGTTATGAAGTCACTGATGGATAGCATTTGTTCTTGCTGTGACCTGGTAGACAATTGTACGTTAACATTGTAAACTGACAACTGGCACCCAAATTGCAATCCTCCTGTCATGTCCCAAAGAGAAAAACAAGCTGGGTTGGTGTGGCTCTGTGACTGAGCATCGACCTATGAACCAGGAGGCCACGGTTCGATTCCCGGTCCAGGGCACATGCCCGGGTTGCCGGCTCCATCCCCAGTAGGGGGTGTGCAGGAGGCAGGCGATCCATGACTCTCTCTCATCATTGTTGTTTCTATCTCTCTCTCCTTCTCCCTTCCTCTCTCTGAAATCAATACAAATATATTTTTTTAAAAAAAGAGAAAAACAAAAGGCAAATGTACCAGGAAACAGTGGGAACAAAGGGAAGATGTCCGTTAGTGTTGAGTGGCCAGCACCACGCGGCTGGAATTCCAGGAGCAACAATTAGCTCTGAACTCAGCCAGTTGAACTAAATGCTTCCCTTTTGGCTCATTTTAGTGGCGGGAGTGACTGCCTCCTATGTGTTTTCTGTGCCGTTTCTCTCCAAGGCAGCTGCCTGCCGTGTTGTTCACGGTGCCTCTGGGACTCGAAAATAGATTGAGTCCTAAGGAGACATGGGAAGGGACGGGGCTGAATGGCAGCTGCATTGTTTGCAAGGCCCCGAGGTGAGAGCTGGACGTGATGATCGGTTGGTCCTTCTCCAAACGAGCCTCGGGGATGCAGCCACAGGCAGCACTTGCAGCTGGTGGTGCTACTTCCTGGGTCAGCGGTGTTTGCCCACAGTCAGGACGCTTCTCACAGCCACAGAGGGTCAGCCCTCGAAGAAGCTCTAAAGACCACCTAGCCTAGCTGGTTGTTATTATTATTGTAAATATATTCTTATTGATTTCAGAGAAGAAGGGAGAGGGAGAGGTAGAAATCAATGATGAGAGAGAGTCACTGATCGGCTGCCTCCTGCACGCCCCACACTGGGGATGGAGCCCGCAACCCGGGCCTGTGCCCTGACCGGGAATTGAACCGTGACCTCCTGGTTCATAAGTCCACCCTCAACCGCTGAGCCACGCCAGCCGGGCTGTACCTATATTTCTTGACGAGCTCAGAGTGACTTGCCATTGAACAGCCCCCGTGCTTTCTCCTCTCTCAGCATTTGGACGAGAGGACTGCAGCCCAGGGAGGCCTCGCAGGCACACGGAGGAGCAGGGGGCTTTCTCATGTTCCAGGTGAGGAAACCCGAGATGCATGGAGGCGACAGGATGGCCAAGGTCAGACAGGAGCCAAAGTGGAAGTGGACGAGTCAGCAAAGTCCAGGACGGGGAGGAAATGTGATGGGGGAAGAGGGGGTATTAGATACACCGTCCAAGCAGAACCACGTGAATGTGCAGTGTAAATTCTTCAAATTATTAAAAAACACACATGCAAAAAAATTCCCCAATTGAAACCGAATCAGGAATGTATTGTGCAAGCTGGGACATTGAAGGTCGAGGCTTTGGAATTAACGCTGCAAATGTCCCTTCGCCTGCCTCCTAAAATACAGCCAGCCCGGCCAGTGTGGCTCAGTGGTTGAGCGTCGACCTATGAACCAGGAGGTCACGGTTCAATTCCCGGGGCTCGATCTCCAGTGTGGGGTGTGCAGGAGGCAGCAGATCAATGATCCTCTCTCCTCATTGATGTTTCTCTCTCTCTCTCCCTCTCCCTTCCTCTCTGAAATCAATAAAAATATATTTTAAAAATAAAAATAAAAAGCGCTCTTCTCAGTCATGCTGTTTTTGTGAATTAAAATGAGATAATGCCTGCAAAAGCATTAAACATTGAGCTCAACATACAATGGACTCGGTTTTCTGAACTGGTATCAGAAGCTTCTGGTTTCAAAAATGGAAACCCTAGTGAGCTAGAGAAAAACACTTTATAAAAGTTATCTATCCCTTTAAAACTTCTCCCCAAATCCCAAAGACTTGGGGGGTTGGGAAAGCAAGTCCGAGGGCTTTAAGGGAAGTGAATTCAGCGGAGGACAGTGGCTCCGCTTTGAGACATAAGAAGAAAGGGAAGATTAATTTTCTCCCCAACTTAAAACAGTGCCTTTGTTTGTGTAATTAAACTACCGCTTGTTTGTGAGACCTGGCAGACAGGCAACATGTGCACGTCCCAAATTTGCAGTTGAACAAAATATGTTTTAAGTAAAGCAAGGAAAGCATGAATTTTAAGTCTGCTTGTTTAAATTACAGTAGGAGATGATGAGGAAGTTTCGAAAAGCTCTTCGGTTTTCTAAGGAGGACTTCAGGCTTCGAGTTTGTGAGAAGCTTGCCAGGAATTAATATCCATGGAGGCCGACACGGGTGCCCAGAAGCTCTGAAACCCGGGGACCTCCGGCCCCATTCACTCTGGCCCAGAGGCAACGAAGTCAGCCCTTACGATGTGAAGGGGGGCTGGGGAGCGGACATCCCGTCCAAACGAGCACAGAGATTTAGAGCAAAAGTGCATATTTCTGCCATTTTCCTTGGCATGAAAGGAGCCTGGGAAGTCCTTGGAAAGAAACTCACAGAGCTATTGATTTCTGAGCCCCGTGTAATGTCAGTCTCTACCCCTCCTTCCTTTGTTTTCTCCGCTTTTTTCTCTTTTTTTAAGTGGAGCTGGGATTCCAACTCAGGAAGCTTGTCTTCAGAACCTTGTTCTTTTTTAAAATAGATTTTTATTGATTTCAGAGAGGAAAGGAGAGAGAGAGAGAAACATCAATGATGAGAGAGAATCATTGATTGGCTGCTGCTTGCATGCCCCACACTGGGGATTGAGCCCACAACCCAGGCATGTGCCCTGACTGGGAATCGAACCGTGACCTCCTGGTTCCTAGGTCGACGCTCAACCACTGAGCCACACTGGCCGGGCACATCAGCTGCTGTTGATTGCAGCTTGTATGGAAGTGAAAGATGAACCTAGGTCAGTGATGGCGAACCTATGACACGCGTGTCAGAGGTGACACGCGAACTCATTTTTTTGGTTGATTTTTCTTTGTTATAAATGGTATTTAAATATATAAAATAAATATCAAAAATATAAGTCTTTGTTTTACTATGGTTGCAAAGATCAAAAAATTTCTATATGTGACACGGCACCAGAGTTAAGTTAGGGTTTTTCAAAATGCTGACACGCCGAGCTCAAAAGGTTCGCCATCACTGCCCTAGGTGCAGGGCCCTACATTACCAGCGATGCCTTATCAATGTTGCAGAGGTGCTGGTGATGGCTACACGGTACACGTCTAAATGTTGGTAGATGATTCCTTTTTAAACAGCAAGAGACAGAGGCCACCTGACCGGTGTACACGGCGGGCCCTGGCGGTCCCATGTGGCCACAAACCAATTAAGTCGCACTCTCACTGAAATTGCTTTCTCAGCCAGGATGGAGAATGATTGATCACAAGTCACGCGCTACACGTGTTAGGCTGAAAGAGTTTGCAGGTAAATCTGGCCCCAGGCCACGGCCACTTCATCTCGCTGGTGGAAACGCCGAGTTGAGTGGCTACGTGAGGGGGAAGCCCCTTCATTCTTTGCACGGGGAGATCCCCCAGCTGGGTCTTGCGTTTGTCCACGCTCGGGGCCTGGAGGCAAGAGCGGGACCTGGTCTCCCTAGCAGAGCTGAAGAGGGGACTCAGCCAGATGAGCGTTCTCCACCCTGTGGATCGTAGGAATCGCCAGTTTGGGTTTTCTTGGCTTTTTTATTTTTCAATTGCAGTTGACACTCAATAGTATGTTGGTTTCAGATAGCGCAGTGGTTAAGACATTTACATACCTTACGCAGTGATCCCACCTGGCACCATTCTGTACTTTGCAATCCCGGCACCTTCTCCACCCCATCCCCAAACTCCCTCCACTCTTGCCAGGGGGTGGTGGTGGTGGTGAATATACTTTTATTGATTTCAGAGAGGAAGGGAGAGGGAGAGAGAGAAACATCAATGATGAGAGAGAATCATGGATCGGCTGCTACCTGCACGCCCCACACTGGAGATTAAGTCCACAACCCAGGCATGTGCCCTGACCGGGAATCGAACCGTGACCTCCTGGTTCCTAGGTCATCGCCCATCCACTGACCCAGGGCCCGATGGGCTTGCCAGGGAGTTTTGAACCAAGGAGACCAAGATGCCCAGGACTCGCCAGGACCAATGACTCTGACGCTGTGCAGGTGCAGCCGGGCATCGGCGGGTGCAACCAGGCATCCCCCTTTGCAGCTGTGGCTGACTCCGCGGGGCAGGCAGTTGGAACCCTTGGCAAGGCCTCCTCCAGAGGAAGCTGCCGGGACCCAGGCCTCCTTCAGGGCTGGCCCGCAGCCCCCAGCCTCGGGACCAGCAGCCCCCAGCCTCGGGACCGGCAGCCCGCACGCGCGATCCCGGGGCAGAATCCGCGCCGGCCCTCGCGCGGAGCAGCCCTGGCGTCGTAACTAACCCCCCACGAGCGCCTCCTGGCAAACACCCCACGCGAGCCCAGCACTAAGGCTGGGGCACATGCACACGCACGGGGCGGGACCACCAACTCCCAGTCCCGCTGGTGCGCCCCGAGCCCCGAGGCTGAGTGCGCATGCGCAGACCGAGGGCCGGGCCCGAGGAAAGCGCGGAGGGCGCCTGCGCAGCGAGGGGCGGTGCTTCCGGCCGGCGGGGGTGGGGCCCGCGCACGTGGTGGGCGGGACTTAGGCCGCGACCCTTTCCGGGATTGCGTTCGTGACCCCGAACCCGGCCGTGACCCCCTCTCTGGCGGCGTCCTGTATGGCCCGGCACGTGTTTCTCACGGGGCCCCCAGGTAACCCCGCCTCGTCCCCGCCTCCCGGAGGCTGAGGGGTGCTCACAGGGCGTGTGGGGTGGTGGGGGCGCGCACAG